TTGACATCAGATCCCATGATGCTTTGCGAGGAGAGCTTTCTTCGGGATATATCTGCTCATTTATTGACCACTGATGATTACTAGTTTTCAAGTTGCATTGTGGCAAATTTCAAGCTCACTACTTTTTTTTATCCGCTAGACATTGAGAAACTGGTGTAACCACTTTATAGTGCCCTATATAGTGGTTGGAAATTCGGACACAGCCTCTATTTCCAAAAGTATTTCCTTACCTGCCGTGACTGGCATATGAGCTTAAGTGACATCCCTTTCCTAATCCATAGGGGTTCAATATGACATCGGTCCAACCTTTGCAGCTGAAGCAGCTTCAACTCTTCTGGGAGGGCTGTCCACAATGTTTAGGAGTGTGTTTATGGGAATCTTTGACCTCACATACACATCTGGAAGTATATTTACAAGGTCCTCTATCAGGTTGAGATCAGGACTGTGCAGTCCAGTCAAGTTCATCCTCACCAGACTCTGCATTCCATGTCTTTGTGGGTCTTGCTTTGTGCTCTGGTGCAAACTCATGTTGGAAGAGAAAGGAGTCAATTCCAAAAGTTCCCAAAAAGCTGGGAGCAGAGAATTGTATGTAGTGTCTTGGTATTCTGAAGCAATCAGAGTTCCTTTCAATGGAACAAGGGCCAAGCGCGCTACTGAAAACCAACCCCACACTATAACCCCTGTCGTGGGAAAAAAGTATTCAACTATTCACCCCAGTTAAATAAACGGGGGCCGATGGATTTGCACTTTATTTTATCCTTGCAAAGAGAGAACAGTTCATCATACAGCCTTTATTGCATAGTAGTCAGCCCTGTTCTGATCTGGACAGAGTGTGTTCCCCTTACTTACAATAATGGAAAGTAGTCAGAGTCAAAACAAAGTAGAGACTCTTTGGTTACGCAATAACATGTTATGAAAAAACCTTGAGAAAGAATCTGGCTTGTTATGAAAATAAGGTAAGTCTACAGATACCCTCATGCAGGGGAATTGTGTGGCCTTGCAGGTGAAACGGGCTGAGTGAAACATTTTATAGTGAGTAAATAGCATAAATCAATATTTGAAATAAGAGAAATCTAAATTTTGCAACCTCGCCCCCCACCTCCCAACCCTACATCACAAAGGCCATTTTTTTATACCTCTTGTCACCCATGAGATTGTTGTTTAAATTCACCCAGGAGAAAATAAAGGTAGTGGAGTGTTTGGGGTTACAATAACAGTTACATTTAATGTAATCTCTTTCGGTTCTTTGGAGTCTATTTAAGGAGAGATGCATGAGGAAAGCCCTTAGTTATAAAAGAGATATCTCCCATGTGGAGTTTAATCTACCATCTGCTAGACTATATCATATCAGTAAATCTAGAAAAGTCAGAATGCGAAAGAACTTCATTCCACTTAAGCCTTTTAAACAATAGAAGCATGCCCAACTACTTAAAAAGTGTCAGCCTTTGAAAAATTGTTTTTGTTAACTACATATAGTGTTTTAAAGTCAGGCTTTATTTTTTGTCATTTTTATTAAAGGTCTGTGTATGTATCGCAATGAAAGTATTGCAGATGACCACCACCCATTGGCCAAAACAACATTTGGTTACCAAGAAGACTAAATACAGACATTATAACCCAAGAAGAAGAGGGAGGTCCAGTAATTGAAGGAAGACTCTTCTATCTTCACATCCTCCAAACAAGAAAATGCCTTTTTGTTTTTGTTTGAAATATTTTAGATGAATGGCATAGTCTAAAATGTTTCTCTCTTGTATATTTCCTGTGTTTTTTCTCACACTTAAACTGTTTCAAATCATTAAACTAATAAAAAAATTATTATAATAATAAAAGCGCTCTACTTGCAATCTCGCTCATTTCCTAAAATATATATATATTCTATACAATTGGAAGATAAAAAATGCCTAGGCATAAATTCAACTGAAGAAATTAAATTACTTGCCCCCATCATCAGAGGCTCACCTGCCTCCAACGGCAAACTAAACCTTCATGAACCCCAATCAGTATCCATCTTTAAAGGTCTTCAAATCCACAACGCAGCCTGCTACCCAGCCAAAGCCCAAGCAGTGGTTACCCCATGTCTGATTTTGACCTGGATGACCCGGATTCAACCCTTTTCCACCATGGTAGCTAAGCTCCATCCGGCTTTTTCATGTTGGTTCTTCAACCTTGTTCCCATCAGATTATAATGGCTCCCGGACTCTTACTGCATTCGCCGCCACATCTCAATTGGTCCAGCAGAAACCCACCATTTTGAGCCTGGTTCTGCCAGAGGTTTCTTCCCAAAGGGGAGATTTTCCTCTCCACTTTCGCTTGCTAATCATGGACAGGTTCATACAAAACTGTGTTTATCCAAGCTGGACATCTATCTTTCCGGGTACCCTGAGTGAAGCACTAGTATCGGCTCATGTGGTCTACTGGATCTCACCAATACAGCTTAATCACATCGTCTTGCCAACCAGCAGTCTATGGACTGAACCAACTTCATCTATCTCCACTCCGCCACCAGTTGCAGGCCTGGGGGGAAAACATCCCTGTTCTCAGAACCTGCTTATGCATATTAAAGTAAAATCCAGCGCTAATGTTTTCTGCTGAGGTCTGAGCATCAAAACCTTAAAATAATTGTACCAATAAAATTCTTGTAATTTCTTCTTCTATCCGTGTGAGTTTTTCAGATTGAAATGAGCCGTTTAACAGCACTGTGGAGGAATTATATCAAACCATTATTGTCAGAAAAGGAATCAGCCACATTGGAGGAGTTTTTAGAATGTAAGGCTTGTTCAAGGTAAAACTAGATTGCATTTAATCCCAGATTTGACCCTAAATTTAGTTTTGATTGAAGCCTTTTTAGACTTTTTTTTTTGTTTTTGAAAATGTGAGCTCATCAGCAGCTCTTTTGGTCTTGAGAACTTTCCACCGAGGCCATTTTTGTCCGATTTATCTTTTCACATTTTGTAATTATAAACTCTCCAATGAACTGAGGAAGGTGACGTGTACCAAACCTATGATATCCCCTTGGATTGTTTCGTGACCCCCTGGATGAATAATTAATCCACTCTTTGCATAATTTCTGGAAAGGTTTCCACTGTTCTCTCACTGTCATTCACT